AGGATTAGGCGAATCCTCTTCCACTCCAACTTTCCATTTCTAGGCGCATTCACACTAGGAGTGTTTAGACATCAACGGCTCTATTTCTACCAAAGCTTCTGCGTTTTAAAGACTCTAAAACATCCCAGAATGTTACAAGACGTCACACATTCCTACCCAAGCTTTCAAGATACAAGAGAAGACACTTTCCTTATTTTGGCCGATTTTGTTATCAAAGCTCCAACGGCTATATTCTTTATATTTTTGCGATTTTTTTTCTTGTTTTATACTCTAGGAACGTTGTATATTGAGCCTATAAAAGCTCAGCTCATGACTCATTGTAAAGTACCCTTGATCATTGAAATTAAAAGAAAGCGTTTTCTTCTTTATAAAGTTCGAGTAACTTTGTGTTTGTTTGTTCTTTAGATTTAAGTGTGTGATTCACTATAGTCTATTGAAGCTGCGAATTAAGAGTGTGTTGAGTGATTCATCCCTCTTGTTCGTCCATTGATTGAGCGAGTCAATCACGTCTATCCATCGATCCATCGATCGATTCTTCTTTGTTCGTGGTTCCATCGAGAGAGAGCGAAGGCCAACTCGATAAACCCTTTCTGTCCGTCCGTTAGCCCTTCGGAGCGTGTATCAATACGAGAGTCATCTCCAAATCTCACTTTTCCGGTGACTGTTTCATCAATCTTTGCAAAATATGAAAGGTTCCCGGACATGTGGTTGCTAGCTCCATTATCCAAGTACCACACATTGCTTTCGTCTGACTTCGTTTCAAAATCAGTTGGAGTTACGTTCTTCTCGTTAAGATAGACGACCTCATGCATCATTAACTCTTCAGCCTCTTGTGTCTCGTCATCACCTTTCTTGCTTTCTTGGGCTTCTTGGAGTTTAAGAAGTCTATCGGGACAAGTAGACGCATAGTGCCCAAGTTTATCACACCGAAAACACGTTACTGTGGCTGGGTCTCTTTGTTGATAATTATATCGTCCTCTTCCTCTTCCACGTCCTCGTCCTCCGTATCTTCCACCGGATCCTCGACCTCTACTGTCTCGATAATTCCCTTGACTAGATTGGCCATCCGTGTTAGCATACATAAGCTTATCCTGTCCAGCTGGTTGATCTTCTTCTTCTTCACATGTTCGTTCTTCATAGGCTTTTAGACGTCCAACAATGTCTTCGAAGCTTGTATTCTTCATATCGAGAACTTGTTCAAGTGAGGCCACAAGATGGATATATTTTTTCCGGGGTAGGCTATGAAGAAGCTTTTTAACAAGCTTTGGTTCATCAATATTCTCACCCAAACTTGCTGATTTAGAAGAGAGTTCAGTGATCTTACCAACAAACTCATCAATGGTATCAGTTTCTTTCATCTTCAACCTATCGAAATCAGATACCAAAGTGGATAACCGAGCTTCTCGCACCCTATCAACACCAACATGACGAATCTTAATCGCATCCCAAACAGCCTTAGCAGTTGTGAGATGTCCGAACTGCAGGATCGAAGCTTCAGGGATAGATTGAAACAAGAGTGCTCTCGCCATGTTGTTTTTGTCATCATCATCCTCTCCGGGCTCAACGGATTCCCACACTTTGTGAACCTTGAGAAGAAGTTGCGTGCGGATGGACCAAACTGTATAATTTGTGGAAGACAACATAGGACATTGTATGGAGGAAGAACCGCTCTCTTTCTGCCGAGGTTGAGCAGGAACAATCTCAGCCATGGTGTAAAAAAAAAAAAATGTATGATCGTGTATCACAGGTTAGGTTTCAAAACAATAGATTAGCTCTGCTACCAAATATTGTTTTAAAGACCTTAAGAACTTGGAGATTATGAAGTGTATAAAAGACTCTTTCTTTTATTGCTTTAGAAAAAATTCCTCAAAAACTAAAGCTCACAAAACCTCTTAATCTCACACTTAATGTCATAACTCGACCTCTCTATTTATATAAAACCAAAACCCAAATCCTAATTCAAATAGGACTTATAAACACCTCTAATCCTAATCCATATCTCGGTAGAATTACAATGACTTGCTCTTCAAGTTATCTTTTTCTTCAAGCTTAACTCAACATATAACTATATATATATA